AACTACTTAATTACCAAAAATAACCGCACAAACGGCGCCGTATAAAGGTTAGGATTTTACCTCCGGTTGATATTTATCAGCGGACGACGGCAAGCCTTTTCTCGAACTGGAAGCTCGTTCTCTCTTGCTCCGGCTGACGGGCTTAAGAGATTGGTACTGGTAGCTGCCGGAACAGAGCCACGTGGCGAAGAAGGGTTGGACGGAGACGGAGGAGCGGATTTTAACGGCGGAGGTGAGCGCAGAGAAGCAGCAGTTGCCGACCGCAACAGCCATTTGAAAAATGGAAGCTCGGAGCTCGCCGCTGAAAGGAAGGTTTTTGGAAGACAAAGCTGCTTTTCCTTATCCGTAAATAGTTGGACTTTTTTCGGGCGTGGGTAATTTTGGCGCCTACGGGTTTGAATTGGGTGACTGCCGGCCCGTTTATATTTGGGTTTTTTTGGTCCTACTAATACAAATGGGCTTGAGTTTGTGGTTACTTGGGTTTGCAAATTGGGTCCAAAAATATTTTGAGTCGTTACGATGTCCTCTTTTGGGGTTGGCACGGTGATGTTTAGGTTAGTTGCACACATAAATTTTGGTCAAACCAATTGCCATATACGAATTTGATCTAGTTTTAATTCACATTGAGAGTAAACACCGAACTAAACCAAACTATTGTTATGCAGTTTGATTTCGCCAGCTTCATGGTGTTCGACGCCCTTGACTTGGCATCTACGCCATCCGTGAGGCGAAGCACACGTAAGGCCACCATTTCCCCCCCAACATTCCCAAATGACATAGCGAGGGGACACACAAGGTTGTGTGACGCCCATGCAAACATGCCCTCAACATAATAGCTTTAGACGAAACTTGCGTTTAGAGAATTGATGGTGAGTTCACACCAAGTATCGCAACTCGTTGCACTCTTCATCAATGCGTGAATCGAGATCTCCCTTGTTGGGGAGCTGTTTTAACACATTGAAGATGACGATGCCACTCGTATGCCCACCTCGGCCTAAGCCCCATCCTCTTGCTTTGCATTTATTAGCTTCTGTTTAAAAACCAAGAGATGGATTTTTAGCGCTAAACGCATAATAACTAAGTATTGATTTCATCAATTAAATGAGTTGAAATCGAGACTTCTCACTTACGAGTGGATGTTGATGTTACAATGGGATGTGTTCTTTTCTAGGCTATCGGGTTGCGTCTCGCAATAGCCCAATTGGTAAGCAAATGGATATTACGGACTTATCTAGTTCGGAACTGCCTGGTGTTGTCTGGTCTGGTTCATCTGCAGGTGGTCGGTGGGGCCACCGGCCGGTCACTGAAATTTGGGACGATGTAGACGTGGACGGTTAACGATGTAATGGAGCCGACTTTTCCATTAATGCGCCGCATGCTTAGAGGACGCGTCCCCATCACCACGTTAATTGCTCATGTCTCTTCTCATCATTTTCCACGTGCCTCAAATATTTCTCATCTGCTAAACACTCCTCCCATAGCCTTGATAATTTTTGTTTGCATTGAAAAATAACTTGCTAACGCTTTTTTTTTTTTTTTTTTTTTTTTTTTGAAATGAAAATTTTGGAAACCCAATGAGCTGTCAAACATCAACACATTTAAAATATACAGTTTTAACAAAATACTTTCAATAATTTTCACTTTTAACGAAAATGATATTTTTACTCTAAAAGTCACTCTTGGTACTATTCACTTACAACACATTTTTGTCCCTTTGATTAAAACTCAAAGTTTTCAAGCCATTTTCATTAGTTTTCCTTTTAAAATATGGAATGAGAATCCTTTCCGAATCCTCTTTGTGAGGATCCAAGGGATCCTCTAATCGTGTCCATTCATCTTACATCGTGCAATCAGAAATTATTTTAAAATTCTTATTTAAAATTAAATACAAATAGTACTTAACGAAAAATGGATGCATGATTTACGATTAAAGGATCTGGAGATGATCCTCATTCCAAAATATTAGTGTAGTAGAAATGAAAATGTTTTGTTGGATGTATGGGCATACAATAAAGAACAAGATTAAGAATGAGGAAATTGAGGTAAAGTAGGAGTGGTTGCAATTGGAGATAAGATAAGAAAAAATCGATTAAAGTGGTTTGGACATGTGAACCGAAGACTTAAAAATACTCTGGTTAGAAGATGCGATTATGAGACAGATGTTCAAGGCAAAAAGTACAGAAGAAGATCTAGGAAGACTTGGAGCTCACAAAAATTTTGACGTAAAATCGAGCGCAATGGCAAATTAGAATTCATACAACCGGATCACTTAGTGCAGTAAGGCTTTTTGTTGTTGTAATAACATTTAAATTTCGTTTTTGTTGAATATTTAATGTGTGGTGATACACTTTTAAGTACAAATGTGTTACAAATGTTTATGTACTACTCTATTGATTAAGAAAATGCATCCATTGTCTAATAATAAGTACGCAGTAATGAATATACTGAAATATATTAGAGGATGTTATTTAGTTTACAAAAGCTAGTCTATGCATTTAGTCTCCTTATCATTACCCTTATTATAAATATAGTAATAATGAGCTACAACTTAACAAAAGTTTCTCAAACTCATCCTCAGGGTCGACTTTGAGATTTTAGGATTTTGTGTGGAAGATAGTAAATGAACCCTTGTATTAAAACTCTTGCTACAAAGCTAATTTATATGTCTATCGTTGTATTAATAAGGGATCTAAATGGAGTATTATTACTTGAGTTATAGTTCAAATGAACAAAAATCACAAAAAAATATTTAATGTAAAGCCGGCTAAACCAAACTAGAAACATAAATTAAAGTGAATTTCTCTTATGTATATTGAGGCAATATTTCTCTTATTCACATGCAAAACCTAGAAAAGTTCTCAAAGATGAAGTTTTTTTTTTGTGTCAAACTAAGTTGGTATTTATGTAGATGATATCATCTTTTAAGGCCCTTTAGGATTGAGAGTCTTGTGCAAGGACACCTATTGTACATCCCCATAACAGCACCATTGCTCATCATAAACATGTATCGCGCGTTCAATGTTGTTACCACATTTGTATTGTTAGACCAATTGATCATGTCTTAGACACCTTACTTTTAAGTCTAAATGTGAGTTGAAAAATGCTAAGGAGACTCTCAAAAGTGAAACTCTATATGGACTATTTGCCACCTCATGTTTTTTTACACAATTCATATGTCAACGTTATAAAACTTTGTGCAAAAACATAAGGTGGCGCCTTGGCGGAAAGTCCTACTCTAAAAGAGTCTCGTTAACATTTATCATGTTAGTTTATAAAGATGTAATCCCATTAAACTACCTAGAATCTATACAAGGGGAAAATGATCCTCGCCGGATCCTTTTTCTAGGGATCTTAGGGATCCCGTAATCCGGACCGTTCATCGTATATCTTGCGGTTATAAATCATTTTAAAATTTAAAATTTAAAATTATATATAAATAGTACCTAAAGAAAATTGATCGAATAATATACGATAAATGATTCAGATCACAGAATCCTTAGGATCGTAGGAAAAGAATCCGGCGATGATCCTTTTTCCTATATGTGAACCTACCTAGAATCTATCTGGGAACCTACCTAGAATCTATACGAAACTATGTTTTGAAATTTCCACTTGTTGGACCGTCCGCCACAACAAAATTCGTACCATGAAGATCCTCTCGAATGTTCATTTCCAAAATTCGTACCATATCCAAATTCGTACCATATCTAAATGTTCATTCATGCAAAATAAACCAATCAAATCATAAATTATTTAACCGTTTGACACTTAGCATCATGATTGTTTATGTATCTAATCACTTGTATTATGATATTTGATATATCAGTCATATTCTCGGCATATTGAAACATCTCTTATGGAACACGGGCCGGTACTCCACATGTTATGATATAATTAGATGAATTTTTTTTTTATTTGTCCCTTCATAATAATATGTGTCGTACCGTCTCGTGTTTCCAAATAGATTTTTCAGAGTGCGGGTTTAACTACTTTATATTATAACACTTGATGTACCGAATCATATTCTGATACAGCTGAAATATTTCTCGTGTTTCGAACATAATGAAAAAATCTCTCGTATTATGCAAACATGTTAGCCACTTCTTGTATTATGCTAATTACAAGCCAACAATTAACAAAGTGAACATATGACACATTGAAACCAAGCAGCCGGTCTAATTACGCCAAATCCCCATGATTAACCGACGCTTGATCTCCATGGCCCCAAAAAAACACAATATTTAACTGATTAACCAACTAATTAATCAAGTAAAGGACAAAACAATTAAGTCCCGGACCACGACACGCAAGCGGGAAAAGGCGACGGAGAGAGAGATGCATGAGAGATTAGAGAGCATGCAAAAAGAGCGCATCGGACTCATCGGCGTAGATTAGCAAACATCGCCCAGCCAGCACAGCTCGGACAGAGAACGACTCGTGGAGTGTAGAACTGTGAGGGGAGAGAGAGAGAGAGAGAGAGAGTGTGTGTGTAGATAGATAGAGAGAGTGAGGGGGAGGGGAGAGAGAGAGAGAAAGGGAGGAGCAAAAAGGGCCTGGCAGGCGCAGGTGTACCGAATCAAGCAGGCATTAGAGAGAGAAAGCTGCTTTCTCTCTCCTCTCTTGCTGCTTCCATTAAACGTTACAACAAACCGAAAGATCAACGCCTCTCTCACGCCGCCAGCGTTTTTGTAGAGAGAGATAGAGAGGAGAGAGAGAAGCGGCGTGAAACGACCGGGCTGTGTGGTGGCGTGAAGTGTGATATAGCAGTGGAGGAAGAGAAAGTGTGATCTTAGAGAGAGAGAGAGAGAGAGAGGCCGTTAAAGGAAGCAGGTAACTTTACGGTGGACGCGGGTACACCCGATTCTCAACGCCTATTTGTCCACTTCGGCTCTAGCTCCTCCTACTAATTTCTCACCATTTTTTTTCTATTTTTCTGAGTATTTCATTCTGCAACTTTTCCTATTTTACAGACGGCGGAGAGAAAAAATTGATCAATAGATATGGCGCCGAGAACCGCTGGTGTGGAAGGACAACCGCCGACCGCCACCGTGAATGCTGGAGAAAGCAGAGGATGTACCGACGCTGCCGCCTTGCCGGCAGCTAACAACAACCAAGGTGTAGAGCTGAACCGGTGTCCTCTTGCTTAATTTGTACTGTTTTAGTTTTAGATTTTTAATTTCTAATTTTAATAATTTTTGTTAGTTACTAATTTTAATTTTATGTCCAGTTGTGACCATTATTAAATTTTAATGATTTTGTTTCAGTTTTTAGCATAAAATATGGTTTTTTTTAATTTTTTTATATAACTCTATTTTTTAATTATTAAAATTTGAATCAAAACCGCAAAATCTTCAATGGGGTGTTGATTTTTCAGAGATATCTGAAATAGGGTTCTCATGGTTTGAGTTTTTCCCCAAATTTTTTTTTAATATTTTGTTTTTGTGTTGTTATGATTTTTCTGTTGAAGCCAGAATGTGATTTGAATTTTGATGTTAGGTGAGAAAGATGATTTGTACACACACTTATGGTATGCGTGCGCCGGGGCGAATGTTTACGTTCCCCGCCCCGGCGAGAAGGTTTTCTACTTTCTTCAAGGTCATATGGAACAGGTTCTCTTCCTCACCCCTGATCCCCTTGCTACTTTTTCTTTTGTGGCAGCTCCATTGTCCCTTGGTCTGTCTTTTCCTAGTAAATTGTGAAAAACATTCACGCAACGGGAATGTCATTATAGTACAAGTATAATGTTATAGTGTCATCTCTGGCGTACGTAACTTTCTTTCTTACTGTTTTGATGGTCCATTGAGAATGGGGGCATGAACAAAAAAATACATCACGGATTATGAACTTCAGTTGATCCTTTCGATTTTTCGTGTGAGGAGTTTCAAATAGATGACATGTTTGCTTGTTGATCTAGAACAGGTTGCGGCATATGCAAATCAAGACGGTGAAATGGAAATGCCAAGATACAATTTGCCTCCCAAGATCCTCTGCAATGTTGTATGTGTTCAACTCAAGGTAAGTTAGTTCTCTCTTGATGTGTAACAAAATGTGCAATTGAAAATTCAACGGCTCGCGATTGATCTGAATTTGGTTGTTGTCGAATGACAACATGGCTCATTTGTAGGCTGAAGTTCACACAGACGAAGTGTATGCTCAAATCACCTTGCTCCCTGTGACCAAGGTTAGCTAATGAGTGCTAAGATGACTTTGTTTAGGGCCTCATTGGAAATCTACGTTATTATCTGCTTTGGAACTTCCTTCTGATATTTGAATGTAATATCAACATAAGTTTACTGCTTTGGCACCTTGCAGCAAGACCAGCTAAGTTTAGAGGAAGAAAATACTCCACCCTTGCCTCGGCGAACCAGTACACTATCCTTTAGCAAGACACTTACCCCGTCAGACACAAGCTCACACGGTGGATTCTCAGTTCCGAAGCGACAAGCTGAAGAATGCCTTCCAGCTCTGGTTGGTATCCTTGTCTTTCCATCGAAATAACACCCGTTTGAAATTACATGATACACATTAAGTAATCAGTTGGATAAAGGCCTTGATAAATTTGAATTAGGCGTCTATTGTTTCTATTACTTTGGATTATGCAAGTGTCATCGGCAGTCTTGCATCAGTTCTTCACCTTTTCCACTCATTTCTACCTCATGATATTTATATCAAATAATGTGGTTAAGAAGCTAGTTCATTTAAATGTTACAAATGTTTTGCAGGACATGTCTCAGCAACCACCGGTACAAGATTTGGTAGCAAAAGACTTGCAGGGAAATGAATGGCATTTTCGCCATATATATCGAGGTATCTTTAAATTCAGACGCTCTTGAACATTCATCTGTGAAACCAACTTAAGTGTGATTATTAGTACCTTTTTGTAGTAGTTTTAGAAAATTTAAAAATTCTTCATCGTGCCAAGGCGAAAAAAATGCAATTTCCATGGTTGGCTGATTCTGTGCAATACATTATGCAAAATAATCCAACTGCAAACGAGTTTCTGCTCATGTAATCACCTTTATGGTTTACAACTCATGCGTGTTTTTCGCTTAACCTTCTCAACTGGATTCATCAGATAAGAGTAATCTTAAATTTATGATGCATTCCCCATAATGTAGGTCAGCCAAGGAGGCACTTGCTTACTAGTGGTTGGACTACGTTTGCGACTGCAAAAAGACTTGTTTCTGGGGATGAATGTATCTTTGCCAGGTATGCTCTCTCTCTCTGTCGTCCCCCAAACCCTGCCCGGTGTAGGAATTTTCTTTTAGTTATTAATCTTCAGTTCCAGTTACCTAATGAAAGTTATTCTTACTTCACAGAGGAGAAAATGGAGAACTGCGTGTTGGCATACACCGTGCGACCAAAACACAAGATACTGCATCAGCTTCTCTCATTTCTGGCCACAGCATGCAGCATGGCATACTTGCGAGCGCTCTCCATGCCATTTCTACTGGTACCATGTTTACTGTTTACTACCGTCCATGGTAAGCTATTTGATCATATGAGCTAATAACTTTTAGTTTGAATGTGTAAAGTGTCATTGGGTACTACCATACACATTTTCGTATGTTTTAAGCATGAATCTGTTTTTGTGTCTGCAGGACAAGTCCTGCTGCATTCATAATTCCTTATGATCGATACGTGAAATCAGCCGAAATTGACTATTCCGTTGGAATGAGATTCAGAATGTATTCCGAAGGTGAAGAATGTGCAGATCAGAAGAAGAGGTAATCAAGCCATGCGAATGCAAGAATGGATGGATAAAAGTTAAACAGCTGCGATCTTTTGACCGAACATGTTATTGTATGAAACAGGTTGGAAGGAGCTATTATAGATATCGAGGACAACGATTATTTGAGGTGGCCCAATTCAGAATGGAGGCGTCTGAAGGTACCCAAGTTCCGTTTTCTGACCATTTCAATCTGATAAATAATTCTCTTAGCATCTGTTTCTAATCATTCCATTTTTTTTTTATGTGTCCTTCCAGGTGCGATTGGATACCGCATCAGATACATGCTTCCATTCTGAAAGGCTCTCTCCTTGGAATATCGTACCTCTCAAACCTAAAAAGAGGGCACGTTTACCTGGTTTGCCATCACCCGGGATTTCTAGCTTGGCCAGGAATGGTCAGTAACTCTTATATATCTCCTTGCGGAAAGTTTGCCTAGATTTGATAAACGCTTCATTCTTCACTTCAGTTTTAATGGAATTTAGCTCAGGGTTCTTCAACTTATCTCTCTTTTTCTCTTATTAGGCTCGTTGCTGATTTCAGTTGAGTCCACACGTCCAAGAAAAAAAAAGGTCTTTCAAGGTCAAGAAACTAGTGATCCACCTGCTCATGGACTGCGTACACCAAAACAGCTATTACAGTTCATTCCACCCTCAAATCCTGACTGGGACTACACACAGTTGGGATTGGAAAACAATCTCAACGTTCCAATGAACGACTCACTTTATCAATGTCCTGGCAGTCCAAAAGCTCCAAGCCTTACTAACCAATGGCCACCAAAGTTTGGTTTTGGAGTATTTGACAGCGGCGTGTGTAAAAGAAGCATGTCAGTTCCAAATATTTGGTCCTCGGGGTCCCAGAAATTGAGAACCTTCGAACTGAGGAACGAGACTCAATCGCCACTTGTCCAACCCAAGACCACAATGCTTTTTGGAGTCAATATAGTTACTAGTTACCCGGAGCTTCCTTCACCCCAAGTTGCCAATTCTATTGAACTTTATAGTCCTTGTTCTACTCCTCCAACGTATCATTCAAGTGTTTCTGAAACAATCCAGCTGTCAGAGACATCGAAGAGTATCTCTGGTGTTCGGTCAGAGAAACAATGCAGGAAATGTTGCTCTGTCAGTCACAGGAGTTGCATAAAGGTACATTATGCGTGAAACGTCTTCTGAGTTGCCTTTCCGAACAAGTTGAAGAAAAAATTATGCTAATTGAATTGTATTTCGCATTCTAAATTATTCAATCAAATTATACTTTAGCGATTGCACTTAAGATGTATTTGGATGTTTACTTAACAAGCAAGCATCCGTATAGGGTGGATTGGTTGCTGAAGGCTGGCTAATCTTGACAAGATTTCGATGCTCTTTCAGGTGCTCAAACACGGAGCTCCTGTTGGAAGATCGATTGATCTCACGCACTTTGATGGTTACAATGAACTCATTTGTGAGCTTGACCAGATGTTTGATTTCAAAGGAAGCCTGATCGGTGGAAGCAGTGGATGGCAGGTAACCTACATGGATGACGTCGGATACAGGATGCTGGTAGGAGATTACCCGTGGCAGTTAAGAACTAGAACTTATGCTGTGACTTAAAAGTTTTCGATATCTGTTGTGCTTTACCGTCTGATCTGTTACTAACTTGGTAATCACGCTACATATGCAGCGAATTCCTGTCCATGGCGCAGCGATTGTTCATCTGTCCAAAAAATGAAATCGACAATCTGAATGCAGGCTCCCTGAATGCAGTATCTGTCTAAGGATTCACTAAGAGGTCACAAGTGTTTATCTGCTCATATGAGATTGCGCGCAAGACAGCGAACACATGGTACCGGCAAACATGTCTACTTGAAACACCGATGTGCGCTTTGCGGTATGTATGCCAACGCAACCGTGACAATTTGCTGTTCAAGGGTAGCAATGCAGATTCAGTATGCATGTTGTTTAAGTTAAACCAAAAGCATAAAAATATCGTTGTTTGTTGTTTGAAGAATGCTAGTGTTTTGTGAGACAGGAAGCCTAAGATTTTACCATTGGATGATTGTTATCTTTTTAAGTTGCTAGAACGTATAAAGTACGAACGCCTACAAGTGACCAATTAGATGGCGTATTAAGCAAATCAGACGATATAATACTCATTAGATGTTGTAATAGACCTTTGAACTATCGCACTGTCACGTGATCTGACTGATGGACTCTAGAATTTGCATAAGTTTTAGTAAAAAAGGTCATTGAGATTGACACAAATCCTCACTTTGTTCACTGACAGTCAAAATTGATAGAAGTGGTATTTGAGTTTGTCCACTGTAAATTATTTTGATATTTCCATGAAATATCTTTCAATATCTTCTCTAAGTGGAGGGGTTGGCTTGACAAAAAGGTGGTCACGCAATCGTTCACGTGACAATTTAATGAGGACATTGACTGATTTTTTTACATAAGCATCATAACGATTTACGTTAGACAAATTCAGGAGCCACTTCAATCGATTTTATTGTCAAGGATCAAAGTATAGAGTTATGCCAATCTCATAGAATATTTTTACTAAATTTTTTTTTTCTTCAAGTTATGACATTTCAATTGTTCCTATTAAGTACGTGTTCATAATATAGAGGATTCTCGTTTATGTTGGGCCTAGTTTGGGCCCCCCCTCACATCGTAGTACCCATAGGCCGACCCTAATCCAAAGGGATCAAAACGTTACAAAGTTTACCGCCACCAACCGTTTTCTCACCAGACAAAATCCAACAGAAACAGAGGAAGAAAATAACCCAAACCAAACTCCCCCAATCTAAAAGCATGAAATCTGTGTGTCCAGCTCGACCAATCACATCCGTTCCAAAATTTCCTCCACCCTCTTCCACGAATATCTCCGCTCTAGTCAATGTCGCTACGCCTGCGCTCAATTTCCGGTTTTCACCGCGCCCGATTCGCCGTCGGAATGATCTCCGGAAGTCGCAAACTGCTGCAAGATCTCAGTTTTCCTCGAACCCACAGAGCAATGAGCAAGAAGAAGACGACCCAGATGCCCAAGTTCAAGACCTTGTGGTCCCACAACATTGGTTGACCCTTGTGGTCCCACAACATTGGTTGACCCCCTCAAATTCTTCGTCTACCAGTGCAAATGCAATAGTTGCTCGAGTTTAATAATAGTTAGTTGCAATAACACCGCCTGCATCGTGCTTTATTTCTATCCGCAGTAGTCTCATGACAACTGATAATATTAGCGAGAAATTCTTTGTCTATTAGTGCAAGTGCAATAGTCGCTCGAGTAACAATTGTAATAAGTGTGCTCTCAAAAGTTCAAAACATGCATAATAAGTTTAGTTTCGTGACAACTGATAATGTTAGTGAGAAATTCCTCGCCCTTTAGTGCAAGTTTGCCGCATGGTTAGACACAACGTTTTTCTTCAAAACGGTACTTCCAAGTGTTCTTTTTACTATGAAAGTGAGTTTCGAGGGACTTGTTTGTGATACTTTTAACTTACGTAAATGAAAATTCCAGGAATCAGAGTGGCTGAGGGCTACTTTGCACAAGTGGTTGGACGATGAGTACTGCCCGGAACCCACCAATGCCGAAATCAGCAAGGTTGCTGCTCAGTCCTACTACGATTCTTTACTCGGAAAACAGACGGATTAGGGTGATATTCTGTTGAAGATGGCCAGAGAATTGGAATCCATGTCCTACCAGGAAAGCTTTCACGGCGCGTTCTCGTCAGCCAACGCGGCCGTGAATTTGATTTCCCAACGGATAGAGCAGGCCTAATTGTCCCTCAGTCCAGTTCAAGGTTTACAAAATTTATCTTGTCCTGCGTTTCCTATGTAATAAAAGTATATGTTTTTCTCAAAACGTCTGTCCGAATAGTAAGTTTTATAGAAAGAACGGACGTCTTGTAGAGAGAATTTTGGACACAGTGAATATATAGATGTGTATCCTTTGTCACTCAGCATGATGCAAATGAGGGATACCAACATAAGCCCTAAGAACGAGCTATGGAGTCCACTAGATTTTGAGAGAAATCTCGAACGGTTGTTTAATTAACAATTGATAGATGATTACAACAGGAGCCAGACAATGGCTTAAATAAAATGATTACAAGTTTACTACACCTTGGAATAACTCAAGGCCTTAAGAAATTAAATGAAAGTAAAACAACGTTAATTGTATGACAAATGGAAAGTTCGATTTTTATTACAGAACTTAAAATGCAGTTTTGGGAGTCTAAACGATCTCAGATGGTCAAATTCTATCGTACATTACATCAAAGCAGTGAGTTTGAACCGTAGCATCGTTTTCTTTCCAGAGAGGTACCATGGGCCAAAATTGGAAAACGGACGCCAAATATGAAAATTCTTAGACTTCTGTCTGTCCATCTCCTCTTCAATCGACTTGCTATTTGTTCTACATCACCTTGCAAATAAGTAGTGACAATGAGTGAATGCTTAATGCACCTGATCTGGTGCAGGAAATTCCAAATTCTTGAAAGATGTAAAACCTCCATCAACAACCAAATTATGGCCACTAACATATTTAGCCTCGTCTGAAGCTAGGTAAAGTGCAGCGTTGGCAACGTCGTTGGGTTCGCATTTTGCGCCGGCCAAGACGCCAGCACTGTGCGTTATTTCCATCAGCCGTTGTCTATCAACCCCCGGGAAAATTTGAGTCAGTTCCTCGATCACAAACGGGGTTGGAATCGCAAATGGCGATATGCAGTTGACACGGATTCCATGCCTGCATAGCTCTGAAGCCACGGACTTCACAATGCCAATGACAGCAGACTTGGACACGGAATATGTGTGCTGTGCTAGTCCTCCCATCAGTCCCGTCACGCTGGCTGTGCAAAGAATGGAGCCAGTTTTACGCGGGATCATCACGCGCGATGCGTGCTTCATTCCTGCCACGACTCCACGCACGTTAATGCTCATGACGCGGTCGAATGCTGCTAGGTCGAGGTCCACCATGCTCGGGGGTGTGTAGCAGGGTACCCCAGCATTGCTGTACATAATGTCAAGCTGGCTATGTTTGGAGATGGTGAAATCGACGGCGTTGGAGATGTCGGACTCTTTCGTGACATCACAGGCAATGAACGTCGCGTTTGGACCGAGCTCTTTCGCCGTAAGCTGGCCGAGGTCCTGTTGGATATCGGCAATGACAACTTTGGCGCCATTGCTGATGAATTTCGATGCGGTTGCTTTACCTATGCCGCTTGCTGCTCCGGTAATCAGCGCCACTTTGCCTTCAAGTCTGCTTTGTCACACATGAAAACAAATCAACAAAAGGGTAAGCAGATGAGAAATGAAATCGAAATCGAAATCGAAAAAAAGGTATTCGGGAATTTGAACTATTCACCCGAATACCTATTCGATTTCGCCTACCTCCCAGTATGAGATGAAAACCCCATCTTGAAACTCAGGGAAGTCAAAATAGCTCTTGAAATGGCGACATTTTTTCTGCACTCAAGTTCGAATTCTTCATTATTAGATTAGATAAATTAGAATATCGCTCGAACTATAAAGAAAAAAAAAGAAGGAGAAGCTTACCTGAATGCAACCCTGAGCATACTTGAAGGACAAAGATGGGGTTTCTGATATTTGAGCTCAACTGGTTCAACTGGTTCAACTTGCACCCTTGAGTGAATTTCTACCCTTCTTCAAATCTTGGCCAGCTGTTGACTATATGTGCTTTTGGTTGGGGTTGGACCGACAAGTAGGAAGAAGGTAAGGAAGGAAGGCTCAAGAAAAATAAAGCATTCTTAATATATTGGTGCACATGTGGACGTGTGGTCCAATGACTGCGTTACACGTGCATGTGACACATGCATTTTGTTTCTTTGTTTTTGGTACAGAAATTTGTATATGATTTTGTCACATCTCCAACGGTTTCTCTAAGGTGGGTGCGGTGTATATGATTTCTATGGATTTTTGTTGAGTTTTAAAGTGAGAGATTTTGACCAGATTTTAGTACGCTTTTACCGATTATTATAATTTTTTTAAAGATTTTTTTAGACTTTTAATGTATGCTTTTTTGAAAAACAAGTAAATTAAATGATGTACTTTTGCTGAATTGTAGAGATTTTATATGGATTGTCATAAATTTTTCAACGACCAACTTATTAATAACATTACTATTTTTAAGTTTTTGTCATTGAAATGGTGATGATGGACATGACAAAATGGTCTCATAAGGTGGCGGTGGAAGTGTCGTTTCTCATGGTATTGGGATTTAAGTGCATTTTTGGAACAAATGTGGCATCTTTCCAAATTATAAGAAAGCCTATAAAATTGGAAGGTATGATTTTTATTTCTTATTTTCTCTAGAAAACTAATACAAAAGGGCTTCATAAACTTTTTTGTTTTTAATCCAAAGACACCTAACTTTCTTTAATTATATGGACAATGGGCGGTGACAATTTTGTATATAAGTTGAAGTTTTTGGTGCAGTGGTAGTATCGTAAATAAATTCGAATTTTTCATAACCAACAAGTTGAAGTTTGATGACACATGCAAATATTTCATAACCAACAATTTCTAGACTGATTCTTAAGACATTACCCTTCATGGCCTTCGTCCTCATCCACATTTCTTGCTGCACAAGAAGTATATATGGAATAAACGTCAACCTCATACTCCCCCACAAAATAGCGTTAATGGGTTAAATTGTTAGTTGTTAGGGGGAGGGGGTCCGTGGAAAGCAAACATGTACCAGGGTGCATAGACATGATTGTTTTACGCTACTGTGGTAAAATGCATTCTAGATTCAGAACTAATTCATTATGTTCTCGGTTAACTTTGTGATATTGAATGAGATTATTGTTTTACTTCTCTTGTAATGTGTGATCTTTATTTTTGGTACTTAAATTTTATCTTTGCTTCGATATACATTTTTTGTCTCTTTGAACGTTACCCCCCATTAAATTGATGAGTTTTTTTTGTTGATGTGATGCAACTAGCTTTCACGGCCCATATAAGAGTCTCAAGCTCACCACCTCATCAATTTATAATAAATTATCATACAATCAATTCAAACCAAAAGC